CAAAATGCAGAAAATGCCTGCAGGTAGGTGGTATCGCTGAGCACCCCCCCACTTTTTTTTTCATCTTTTTTTAGTTTTTTTGGGTTTTAGACCCATGGATCGGGGCCGGGGACGGGGGTCGCCAACGCTGGTGAGTACGCCCTCAAATGGATTGAAGTTGCAAAGAAGGTAGTCGTGTGGACGGACGGTCAGAAACTGGAGACCTAACTTGGGAATCGCCAGCGCAGTTTAAATTCTCCGATGATGATGATTGCCCGCTCCACCAATCTCCTCGTCCTTCTCCGATGATCCCAAAAAGAGCGGGCGAAAGGCACACGACGGCGAGAACAGACAGCGGGCAAGAGCAGTGACCCGTGGGAAGCTAGCAGCCGTAAAAGCGGCGTAAATGCAGGGAAGAGTAAGGGCCCTGTCTCTTATACACATCTAGATGTGTATAAGAGACAGGTCAGAAACTGGAGACCTAACTTGGGAATCGCCAGCGCAGTTTAAATTCTCCGATGATGATGATTGCCCGCTCCACCAATCTCCTCGTCCTTCTCCGATGATCCCAAAAAGAGCGGGCGAAAGGCACACGACGGCGAGAACAGACAGCGGGCAAGAGCAGTGACCCGTGGGAAGCTAGCAGCCGTAAAAGCGGCGTAAATGCAGGGAAGAGTAAGGGCCACAGCGGGATAGGCAAACATCGGGGGGGGGAAACGACAAACAGCAATGAAGGGACAAACAGCAGTAAATGGCAGGATCGGGGCAGCGAACCCAGGAGTGAGTGAGCAACAGAACGGCTGGAGTGAATGAACGAATGGCAGGGGAGATGAACCAAAAAGAAATGATGCGCAGAATGATGCCAGAATCATTTATAATTTTATATCCCATGATGCCCCCCCCCCCAGCTCGTTTTGCGCGACAAGTAATGCAAAGCTTTTTTTTTTTAATGTCAAACATTCAAATAGCCTCTGACAGAAAACCACATACAGAAAATAGCTGCATGGCAACAAGTCACCCAGCTGAAAAGTTTTTCTCTTTTCCTTTTTCTTTTTTTTTTCCTTTTTTTTTTAATTTGGACCATTTCACGATTTATGCGTGTCATCCTTGCACAGGGGCCATGCTAATCTTCTCTGTATTGTTCCAATCTTAACGGATGTCCCGAAGGACGTCTCTTTTCCTTTTTCTATTTACTT